CACACGCAAAAATGCGTTTGGCTTTGCCGTACTCGCTGGCTGGTGGTGATTTAATGTGGTCAAGGCAACAGTGGAAAAAACAAATTTGGATGAAACAGTAGTTGAATAAGCTCATACGAAATCAAAGCGGAAATTCTAGTTTGCCTACATTTTCGTTGAGTTGGATTTTTGCTTAATTTATATGTCAAATTACTGAATGTTTTGCGTGAAATTCACACGTTTTCAGGCTTTTTGGGTTGATTTTTATTTAGTTTGATACGGGGCATATGCAAGTGATTGTTTGCCTTAAATTTTAGGGGTTGTTATTTTTTAAAAAAGAAATATATGCTTTCAGATTTTGTTGTTTAAATTTGCAATTGTCTGCTGTTAGGTGGACTTTTGTAAAGTTCTCAAAATATCCTATTGATGTAATCAGTCGTTGACATTAATAATGACTGTGTAGATAACTGCTAGGTCAGAGCATTGCGATGATTGAAATCAGTGTTTATGAAAATGCATTAGTGCTGGATGACAAACAATGCCAAAAGCCTTCTGAAGAACCATCAGGCTTAAATGCGGCCGAAGTTATCCTAACAATATCCGCTTGTTATTAAATTTTGATCCTATAAAAGGAAGCAGATATAAATTATGTTTAATTTCAACTGTTCTATAAAGACTATGATTTAAATAATACAACTGACTTTCCAAAACCAACGAGAACGTGGAATAAATTGTCATCCATGGTGATGTAAAAATGAACGAGAGTTGCAAATGTTTACAAATGCTAAGGGCAGCTAGGTTAAATCTGCGTAGCTTTTTTAATTGAGTAACAGGAAAAATTTTAGACTTTTAAATTCATTGTATCTGTAAGTCAATTGAAGCAAGGCTAATTTACCCGCTGTATCCCGTTAATATTTTTAAACAAATATCAGGACATTCTAGCCAAGACACTTTTAGTAAAAAAAGAAAAAAAAAGTATCTTAAAAACATTACTAACAGTGCCAAGGTAAAAAGTCTTTGCTAAATAGAATATTTTTGTTTTCAACTAGCCCTGAAGGCAAAGAATTTTCTATTATGCTGCAAAAAGAGGAGTAATCTGGTTTGGTCGGAAAGAAAAGACAAGGGGTCATAAGTAAATGAAAAGTTTTAGTGTCAGCACATACAGGGACACAGATGAAAGCAGGCTTTTATTGTTTACCTGCATTTCCAATGCATGTTTATTGTAACTATTATCGGGTTGTCGAAGGAATACTAAAGGACAAAGGACGGAAAAGGCTGGCTTGTAGTGACAAACTGACAGAAGTCACAAGTGCAATTTTCTAAACCGAAACATGATTTGATAGGGTGTCAGCTCAAGAGCTTGTTGTTTCAAAGAAAATCAATTCTATTGTTCGTGATGAAATAGCTTCACAGGTTTTGTGTGGAATCAAATAAAGGTATATCCAGCAAAAAAAAACAATTTTTAGATTTTGATAATTAATTGTCGCGTAAAAGATAAATATCATGGGTTTAAGCAGAATAGTGTACATCCTATTTTGGTCTTTAAATTAACATAAGATCTCTGTATTTATGAAAGTCTTAGTATGGTCACATTCATGATTTAAAAAAGTATTTGTCGATAATATCTAAGAAGCTTCAAGAAAAGCAAGTATTATCAATTATAATTTATGACTGACGGCTCATCCGTGGTAGTTCTATCTCTGACAATGCCCATACATACTTAAAAACACAATTATCAATCTCATTAAATTTTGTCGGTTAAAATCTCCCTTTTAAGGAAAGCGCAGAATATGACAAGTTATAGGGATTTTTTAGGTGCTGCTTTTTCTGACGTTCATCGCTAAATTTGGTCACTAAATCCGAGGGCCATTATTGGAACCTTCAATTTATGTTAGAGGCAAGTGTTATTGACTCAACTAGGGTGGTGACAAAGCTAAGATTGATAACAAGGGAGGTGAACAAACATTAAGAATGTTAAAATGCTACAAGCATGCATACTCAATGTTCCACAGATTTCGTATTTTTTGATGTTTGATTTATCTGAAACAATTTGACTTACCATCTAGATCACTAATTTATACGTAAAACAATGTGGTAAATTTGACGTTATACAATATATCGTAAATTTTATTTATTTTCAACAGTTTAATGAATATATCGTTCTTCGGCTTTTATTTTGAAAATTCGTACATGGCTTTAGTAAGGCATTAGAATTATTGATTTATTTTTATCTAAAGAAACCTTTTCCAGTCAAACTTATTGAGTTAACTGACTATCTAAAATAGCATTTTCGAAATGATTTTTTTCGTTTATAAATTTATGATCTTTATTCATCTGCCTAGTTGATACCTTAAATTTTACAATTTTCGAAAAAAAAGATTATGATGCTTTTGCTTCTTTTTTAATTGGTTTCTTTGTCATATTTAGTTAACCTCTAACCCAAATACGCATTTATGTGCCCTCCCAAACCTTTTATAATAGGAAGATTTTGCGTAAGTATTTTTAGAAACAGATCTTTTTTGCCTAATTATTTTAAATGGTGTTTGTTTTTTGCATTGCTGAATAAACATTGACTTTTTAGTGTAATAAGCGAATTATTGGATATTTAAATTTTCGTTTTTCTAATATATGGCCGTGGTATCGAATCCCATGATTTTGACCATAGTTATTCATAAAATAAATTGGACGCAAATGTTAGTTAATTAGGAGCACATATTTCCTCGGTACAGTGCGCAGTGTTTGTCTCATGTAACATGTTAATAAAGTTAAAGTTGTAATGATTTTCTTTACGAAACCCACCTCTGTGAATATTTCTGAAATTTAAGTGTTATTGTATAAAAAAAATTAAAATGCTTCATTTTCGTTGATGTTCTGTATAGTTAAAGTGCCCGTCGTTTATTGCACGGGGAATCATTGTGCGCTTCACTTTATCTTAGAAGCTCATCCTTGCAAAAAGTATATTTTAGGACCCATACATTCAATAGATTGCCACTAACCATTGAAATCGTTTTTTGTGCAGATTTCTTACCACGATGTATCTTTATAAGCATGCCGCTTAGTTGGCATCAGGTTGACAAACGGAAGCATCTCTCTCAGTCTTGTCTCATTTCCAGCCACCAATCTTATTTTCGCGTTATGCTGGAGTCCCAGTGACATTGTGTTTTTTTCGTTATGACCTGCGTGCTCCGATGAGGTTTTTTGCATACTGTATTTAAGTCGCTTTCTAAGAATGGCATGATTGAAACGGTTACTGACTCTGAAGTGATTCTTAAGTTGGTTAAATTATTTTTTTTAAACGAAGTAAATGGGCTGACTATGAAATGAGAGCTCCCCAACACTTGAAAATTTAGCCCTTACCAACTGGTGGTAACCCGTGGTTTGGTCGTGCAAATGTAAAGAGAACATCTCAGCAAATATGGTAAGAATTAAGCAACAGTGTAGAAAACTTATGATGTAGTGTTTTCAATAAAGTGGAGATCTGTTTTCAATCCATGATTATCTCGTTTGCATCCACGGAAGTCGCTTGATATGTTTTAAATACGTTTTGCGGTAGACTGAAAAGGTCGGAAGCGGTGGTGTGGATGTCCTAACCGTACGTCAGTGATTTAAGAATCGCTAAAGCATCAGTCTGAATTTTGAAGCAATACTTTTTCGCATCGCCCACTAAAATCAGTTTTGCTAATTGTGGGAAAAATTAGGGATATTAAACTCCAAAACGAAGTATTGTAGCTGGTTCCTCTTGAACTCGATTTGTCAAATGTAATCATTCTTTCGGTTTAAGACGTAAGTAGGTTTTTATGTTATGAGTAAGCTAAAATTCTTAAATATATATGCACATACGGTTTTCAACTAATAACCGTCTGTGGATTAGATGTTTTAACCTGATTGTCTTTCTTTGAATGGTTTTCTGCAATTCTCAATATAAGTCGCACTTGCTCAATAATTGCCTTTGCTTAACATTTCACATATTCACTGATTGATCTGCCGCATTCTTTTAGCCTTGATATATCATAACATGTGGTAAATGCCTTTTTTACACAGACGTAAATGACTTCCCAATCATCTGGTTGCCTTTTCCCGAAATCAAATGCCAGTGGATTGCAAGTGCATCAGTGCACCCCTGAGACTTGTGCTGTTCACCCAATTTACTCGGTAGTGTCTGCTCGATGCCTTGGTAACGAGGCTTCCAATACCACCTCAACTATGCCAACTTTCAGTCGAGATTTCGAATTTCCATCCTCAAACGTCATTCAAACTCGGTGCATGGTCAATCGGACCACTGAGGTCTTCTATTGGTTCCCTCCGGTTCAAAATTGTTTTTCAAGTGAGTAGCGAAGTTTTTACTAAAGGTTAGGTTATTGTGTAGGACGTTAAAACAGGGGTAATCTTCGTCTTCACATCTTCGACACCCCAGTTTCAGTATAGGGGCATTTGTTTCTTCTTGTATTGATATGAGTAGTTCCAATTCCAACTCTATTCATCAAAACTCGTTTTCAGTAGCAACCTGATAGTGCAAGGAAGATTCCTCGTGGCGAAAAGTGCAGAACCATCGTTTCACACCCATATGTTTAAGTAATTGAACCGTTGTTGCAACCCGTAGACCGGACAATAAAATTTGCTTCTTGATGCTTTCACGCTTACAAAAACGGCGCCTTTAGCTAGTATTCGTCGCTGTTGCCTTGTGAGCCGTCTTTGGGCATCTGCGTTGGGAAAACGCAACCGCCAGACCTGTTTAAACATGTCCATTTTCAACTCAAATCCCGCCTCTATGGCTAAGCCAACAATCACGCATGTTTCTCGTGTTTACACAAGCTGTTCAAGAAGTCACGTTCTGATTACTCATGGCAAGCTGGAACCAGGCTAAAGTGAATCGGAATTTTTCTTCTAGCCAACAATCAACAAAACCAATTAAATTTGATGGGATGATTTAAAGATCGTCGCTGATTCTTATTCTGCATTACTTTGTATTGAGAACAAGCCTCATATCATTGGCTCACATATAAACACATAATTCTCTGCTGGTTCCTAACAGTTACTGAAACAGCTGTTTTTGGTTTATTATGCCGGTTAAGTGGAGGATGTTTTGACAATACAAACCTGCATCAGTTCTGGTGTGTGGTCATGTGACCAGATATATTAAGTATTCCATGTTTTGCGTTCCTTTGACTCACCTTTAATATTTGCCCATTCCTCACTCAGATGACTACTGACCTGTTGGATTGTGGGCGAGCGGTCCTTGTCAAATGCGTCAGCTATCCAGGTTCACTTCTTTCATCATAAAGCGTGCCTGTAATGCCAGTAATAACTACTTGATTTGTCGTTTCAGCTAAAAATAGTGATACCCCCTATTTCTACGGCTCCATTTACGCCCTCCGCCAGCTACAGCACGCCTTTCAGGCTGGCAAAGCTGCGGCTGTGGCCGTCAAAGAGAAACCCCTAGTCTCTCTCTCTGTTGGAATGTCCGCACTCTCAGTGGTTCTCGTGCTCATAATGCTCCTCGGTATCTGCCACCGCAACGCGCCCGAAACGGCCAATCAGCGACAACGTCAGGCGGCCGCGCGTCGCCGAGCTCGAACCAGGGGCCCTCTGCAGCACGACAACCACGCGTCAATCGGGACGCAGGCTGAGGTTGAACCTTCGGATAGGCCATTCGTCCTCCATCGGTCGAGTTCTTTGTCGTCGTCGTCGTCATCAGCTCGGCGTGCTGCAGCGGTATGCTTAAAGTGTATTTCATTTGTAGAGGCCTAGAGGATTAGGAATGCCAAAAACGAACTCCCTTGATTTTTTCCTCGGAGCGTTAAACACTAGAGCTGCCTCTTTTTGTGGTTTTGTTTTTTTCCGGTGAACCAGTTTTGTGTTGCAAATGCAGTCGCTCACTAAGTTGTAAGTAAGTCACCCATTAACCATAGTCACTAGATTAGTTTACAATTGAAATTCCACAACTTGAAGCCTGGGATGTAGTAGGCGAAAAGCATTGCTTTTTGATGCTTCTTTTGAAGTCGAAATTTGTTTCTGGCTGCGTGAAACTGACATCATAGCCTCAATTTTCGCTGGTCGCGCTGTATTATGCCGTAGTTGGTGTTATCTCAGTTTTTTTTCAGGTCACCGGCACTCAATAGCTCCAAGGTCATTTCACAACTACCCTTATTAACTGTAGTACGTGCGAGAGTCACCGGCGTGCGTAAAGCCATGGTGACGGATCTCCAGTCAGATGCCTAAGAGCTCGTTCACTCATTCTCCTTCGTCCACGCTTACGCATGAGTGATTCGTGACATAACTTGGTTGATGGTTATTGCTGATGTTGGTCTTCCGCTCACGCGTTCGGTGTGCTTTTCATTTAAACTATTTTATTTTATCGTGCCTGTCAGAGGTAACACTCTGTGATAATGAGAAACGTGTATGCTTTTTGCGTGCATTCACGTTCTGGTTCTTTTTCGCCCTCATGGCGATGCTGCATCACAGCTTATTTGTCTGCTGTATTCGTCTCGTTTAAGCACTTGTCCTCATAGTCACACTTCTGAGGGCACTAGCCTGTGGAATATGCGGAGTGTGTGTTCTGCATTTAATTTAACCACGGCCTCAGTGGTTTCTGCTTCTTCTGTTTCGTTGTTTTTTTTCACCTCAACGTCTACAACGATCTCAAATGATAGGTCTTCTTAATGAGGTCTAGTCACGGAGATGCGGTTGCCG